GGTTATATCAGGACTGTGGCCCGCTGTTACAGGTACAAGGGTTCTGTACTGAGGGTTATATCAGGACTGTGGCCCGCTGTTACAGGTACAAGGGTTCTGTACTGAAGGTTATATCAGGACTGTGGCCCGCTGTTACAGGTACAAGGGTTCTGTACTGAAGGTTATATCAGGACTGTGGCCCGCTGTTACAGGTACAAGGGTTCTGTAGTGAGGGTTATATCAGGACTGTGGCCCGCTGTTACAGGTACAAGGGTTCTGTACTGAAGGTTATATCAGGACTGTGGCCCGCTGTTACAGGTACAAGAGTTCTGTACTGAATGTTATAACTGGACTGGCCCACTGTTACAGGTACAAGAGTTCTGTCCTGAGGGTTATATCAGGACTACGGCCGATTGTTACAGGTACAAAAGTTCTCTACTTCAGGTTATAATAGGACTGTGGCCCGCTATTACCAGTAAAAGAATTATGTTCAGAGGATCTGTAATAAGACTGTCATTAAGTAAGAATGCTTTTTTTTTTAAATTTTAATGTTCCATTATAAAGCCTGAGATTGTTCATGCTTGGACAAATCTGACAGAAATGTTGTCACTGAATTGTTTTCCTTCATTTTATTGTACCCTGGTATTTTGGTGGTGGGCTGTATTTTCATGTTGACTGTAAATATGACACTGGCTTAAATGTTTACAGGATCTGTTACAAAACACATTCCAATGGTGCACAAGAAGATATTGTTTCTGCCACAGAAGCCCTACTTCACAGACGGATCATTGAGAGAACAGGTGTGTATTTTAGCTCTTATTTATCTCTGTATAGATATTGCCTGTTTAATTGAAGTAGCAAATTATGTATGTTGATATTGTTAATTAGGTATAAATATTTTTATTGAGAAAATCTATCAACACATGCCTCTTTTCAGCATTTATATTACAAATTTGAGCAATTAACATATAGTGAGGGTGGTCGGGTGGCGCAGTGGATAGCGCATTTGCCTTTCACCAAAGCGACAAAGTTCGATTCCCAAAATCAGACGTAAAAAGGTGGTTTTCTCCGGGTCCTACAGTTTCCTCCCTCACTAAGACCCCCCCGCAATAAAATCCGGGCCAACAAGAGTAATTAATTTATATAATATAAGTTAAAATAACTTGTTTCATAATTGTTGTAAAATAAACAAATTTTATATATATAATGATTGTAACAAGAAACAACTGTGTGATCCAATTGGCTAAATTGGTAAAAGAAAGTTCAATATCTGCAAATACAATCTCATAGCAATTTCTAACTTATTTATTAAGAAAGATTCTTTACAGTGAAATTACTTAGAAGTAACAATATGAAGCAATAGAAGTAAAATAATGTAGCAATCATTAGTGGAGTGGGTTCCTCAAATCTCCACTAGCTTCAGGGTAACAATCTCTGGGTTAGTTTGAGCCAAGTCTTCACTAGCTTTAGGGTAACAATCTCTGGGTTACTTTAAGCCAAGTCTTTACTAGCTTCAGAGTAACAATCTCTGGGTTACTTTAAGCCAAGTCTTTACTAGCTACAGGGTAACAATCTCTGGGTTACTTTGAGCCAAGTCTTCACTAGCTTCAGGGTAACAATCTCTGGGTTAGTTTGAGCCAAGTCTTCACTTAATTGCTTCAGGGTAACAATCTCTGGGTTACTTTAAGCGAAGTCTTTACTAGCTTCAGAGTAACAATCTCTGGGTTACTTTAAGCCAAGTCTTTACTAGCTACAGGGTAACAATCTCTGGGTTACTTTGAGCCAAGTCTTCACTAGCTTCAGAGTAACAATCTCTGGGTTACTTTGAGCCAAGTCTTCACTAGCTTCTGGGTAACAATCTCTGGGTTAGTTTGAGCCAAGTCTTCACTAGCTACAGAGTAACAATCTTGGGAGCTAAGTCTACATGAACAGAGCTTCAGGGTAATAATATCGGGGTTACTTGGGGCCAAATCTTCACCTACAAAGTTTCATGGTAATAGTTCTAAATATTATGATTAATAATAAGCTCTGGTTTTCCCGGAGGCTTTTATAACGCCTGCCGTATTGAGATCACCTATTGGGCGTGACGTCGGTAATGGAAGTATGGAATTTGCGACGTCTTGTGGGAACCTTCGTTACTGAAAATGCTAGGGAGACAACTTTTGTAGCCATGCGTTCATAGTATATGTAAGAAATACTAACTTATTAAAATATCCTGATTATGTTGTTAACATTTCAGTTTACACTATTTTCAATAACAATAAGAATATTGACTTTAAAATCTTTATACTATCCTACATCGATATTTGAACATTTATCAAATTATTAAAAAAAAAAAATGTTGGAAGGGAGACAACTGCGGGAATAGGCCCTATACGTCCTATAGCATTATTGTTGTCATGTGTGAGTGAAACGCATTGCTCTTTAATTTTGAAGTCAAATGTAACAAATTTTGCTAATTCTGCTTATTTGCTCAACGCATTTTTGTGAAAATTCTGGATAACATTATGGGGTTAGGCGTTTACACTTCATAACAATCACGATGTGTATTCAACCCAGTTTATATTGGTTTTATGAAAATAGGGACGTGTAAAAGTGTTTTTTGTTAATCTCCTAGAGTGACGCTACGCATGGGCAGTTTTCTATTTACATTTAGGGCATCGTATTACCGCATGCTTTCGTTTTGTAATGGTCTTACGGCCCATCGACTTGCCCGAGAGTTTATACTATTCTTGAGAATTCATATCATGCTTGAGAAGTAACCATTGCCTGAGGTTTTACATCATGTTGAAAACATTGCCTGAAATTTTTTCATCATTCTTGAGAACATTGTCTGAGATTTTGTACTACGCTTGAGAACATTGTCTGAGATTTTGTACCACGCTTGAGAACATTGCCTTAGATTTGTAATATCATTGAATGAGGAAAATATAGTTCCTGTCAATTTGTCATGTCTGACCCATTATCCTATTACACTGTAATCAATTAGGTTTGAGAAAAATGTGAATTGTCAGAGAATGTGTCATGCTTGAGAACATTGCTCAAGAGTATTTATCATGCTATTAAAAAAGAACAAATGAAAACTTGAATTGATTTAAGTACAATGTACTTGCTCTTGAATATATATCAATAGTCGTGTTGGCATCTATAATTACTTAATTTCAAATTTCACCTTTTACATTTCAATATTTTTCATGTTCAAATTTGGTACTTTGATTGTTATTGTTTAAAGGTGATGTACCCTGTACAGGATATACTTTCTGGCTCAGGTAAGCAGTTATAACCATATCATTAAATTTTTGAATAACTCCTTCCCAAGAAACATTATAAAATGGTGGAACAACACACTGTTTTAAGCTCACCTGGCCAAAAGGGCCAAGTGAGCTTATGCCATGGTGCAGCGTCTGTCGTCCGGCAAATTTTTCCTTTAAAATGCTTCTAGTCCTTAACGGCTCAGATGATTTTGACCAAATTTGGTCTGGAGCATCATTGGCCAAAGGGTNCAAATAAGAGGAAAATAAGTCAATCTTCAGAAATCTTCTCCTTTTCAACAAATTGAAGGATTTTGACCAAATTTGTTCTAGAGCATCAGCAGATAGGGGAAATAGAGAAAAATATTTTCGCTTCTGTACAAATGAAAGAATTTTAACCAAATGTGGTCTGAAGCATGCTAGTTTTCATCAAACTTCTTTTAGATCATCTTTGTTAAAAGACTCTTCCCTCCCCCCCCCCCTCGACTGATCCATTAAACAAAATGGCCAAAAGATGGCCTTCGGATTTTAACGATGAATGTTATCGCTATTTCTTATGAAGTTTTAGAGGGATCTTTCTCAAATTTAATTAATTGGTTCCCCTTTGTCTGTAGTTGTGCATGTTAACTTTTGAGACTGATCGGATGAACAAAATGGCCGACAGATGGCCATCTTTGATTTTAACAGTGATTGTTTGTTATTGCTATTTCTCAGGAATTACTGGAGGGATCTTTCTCAAATTCTCAGTGTAGGTTCCCCTTGGTCTGTTGTTGTTCATGTTTACTTTTGACACTGATAAATAAACAAAATGGCCAAAAAGTGGCCATCTAAGATTTTAACAGTGAATGTTTGTAATCGCTATTTCTCATGAAGTTCTTAAAGGATCTCTCTCAAATTTGCTTTATTGGTTCAAATTAATGCCATCTTGGACTTTGACAGTGAATGTTTGTTATCACTATTTCTCAGGAAATTTTGGAGGGATCTTTCTCAGAGTTGATATATTGTTTCCCCTTAGTCTGCAGTTGTGCATGTTTACTTTTGAGACCGATCAAATAAACAAAATGGCCGATAGATGGCCATTTTGGATTTTGACAGTGAATGTTTGTTTTCGCTGTTACCCAGGAAGTTCTGGAGGGAACTTTCTCAAATTTGCTATGTAGGTTCCCCTAAGTCTGTAGTTGTGCATGTTTACTTTGGAGAGTGATCATAAAAACGATATGGCCACAGGAAGTACTAATGATATATTTCTGATATTGTAGTGATTGGATCTATTTTTATAACACTTAAAGAACTGTACTAGTAAATACATGACTTGATCAAACAGATAAGAGAAAAGAAGAAAAAAGATCAAACTGACATAAACCAGTAAGGATGGTACAATGGTGGGCGCAAAGATCCCTCTGGGATCTCTTTTATAATAAGAATAATTTCCTATGGTTGCTTTATTATCCAGTGAATGATACAGGCCCTAGGGGCCTCTTGTGATTTTCATGTTATGAGGGGAAACAAGATATTCAAGACCTGGAATGATATTTACAATCCAGACTTCGTGAAAAAATTTGCAAATATAATTGACTTTCTTCTGCAGATCATAGCTAAGGTCAGTTGAATAGATAAACATGTATTGATTGTGGCATCATAACCAAAATCCATGCTACAGTCACACCCCTACCTGTTATTTGAGTCACAACACTCATGGGTAACAGGAGTCACACCCCTACCTGTGACTTGAGTTATACCCCTCAGGGGTAACAGGAGTCACACCCCTACTTGTAACTTGAGTTACACCGCTCAGGGGTAATAGGAGTCACACCCTTACCTGTAACTTGAGTAACATCCCTCATGGGTAACGTAACAGCTGTCATATCCCTCTCTGTATATTGAGTTATACCCCTCAGGGGTATTAGGAGTTGCACCCCTTCCTGTAACTTGAGTTACACCCCTCATGGGTAACAAAAGTCACACCCCTACCTGTAACTTGAGTTACACCCCTCATGGGTAACAGGAGTCACACCCCTACCTGTAACTTGAGTTACACCCCTTCCTGTAAAAAGTGTTACATCCCTTCTTGTAACAATAGATAGCAGTGTTTAAAATGGCATAATGCTAAAAATACAATGCATCTCTGAGATGTACATGGACAGGGATTCATCCTGCTTATCACACATTCATATATATATTTAATTATATATAGATATCAAATACTTTAAGTGCAGTTATCATAAAATAATGAATATTTTGTGTGAAGTAATGTTTTCCTAAGATTTCAGACATGTGACAACCATGGATACGACACAAAAATGCACACAGAAAAAAACACCTTTTTTGGATAATTAATACAAGTATTTAGGTGTGAAATATTTTCCTCAATACATTCTAAATACTGATAAATGTTTTTTGTTTGTTTTTGATTTTGTAGTGTCGGCCGAGAACCAAAAGATCTTCCAGTACCTGGAGTATGTCGGACTAAAGGACATAATAGACAGAGTTATTGACCTTGACAGGGACATGGATTGGAACTGGTAAGTTGTCAATTTGTTAGCATCAGTCAAGTCTTGTCTGTGTAATTGAGACATAAATAACATCTCTATTTCCTATACAGGTATGATGAATTGTCACCAGGAGAGATGCAGAGACTGTCCTTTGTACGTCTGTTCTACCATCAGCCAAAATTTGCAGGTAAATTAACTTTTATTTTTACTTGACCGACTTCAGATGTGTGTTAATGAACTAACTAGTGGCCCATAGTAAAAAACATTCTGTTGTATCTTTTTGAAATATGTCCTGGGTATATGATTTAAAAAGAAAAGATTTACACATTTGTCCTCTCCACAGTGATAACAGTGCACAGTACATTTGGAGAGATTTATGCCATTAATAGGACAATTTCAATGTATAATGATGTGTATGTTAATTCTGTGTCCTACTCGGTAATTGATATGTATATTAATTCCGTGTCCTACTCTGAAATTGATGTGTATGTTAATTCTGTGTCCTACTCTGTAATTGATGTGTATATTAATTCTGTGTCCTACTCTGTAATTGATGTGTCTATTAATTCTGTGTCCTACTCTGTAATTGATGTGTCTATTAATTCTGTGTCCTTCTCTGTAATTGATGTGTATGTTAATTATGTGTCCTACTCTGTAATTGATGTGTATGTTAATTCTGTGTCCTACTCTGTAGTTGATGTGTATATTAATTCTGTGTCCTACTCTGTAATGGATGTGTATGTTAATTCTGTGTCCTACTCTGTAGTTGATGTGTATATTAGTTCTGTGTCCTACTCTGTAATTGATGTGTATGTTAATTATGTGTCCTACTCTGTAAATGATGGGTATATTAATTCTGTGTCCTACTCTGTAATTGATGTGTATGTTAATTATGTGTCCTACTCTGTAATTGATGTGTATGTTAATTATGTGTCCTACTCTGTAATTGATGTGTATATTAATTCTGTATCCTACTCTGTAATTGATGTGTATGTTAATTCTGTGTCCTACTCTGTAATTGATGTGTATATTAGTTCTGTGTCCTACTCTGTAATTGATGTTTGCTGAATATCTGTGTTGTACAGTGCTGGATGAGGCGACCAGTCAGATTGGTCTGGTGGCAGAGGAGAAGATGTACGAGATGTGTGGCCAGCTTGGTATCACCGTGCTCAGTGTTGGCCATCGCCACAGTCTTGACAAATACCATACCATAGAGATCATCCTGGATGGTCAAGGGGGCTGGAAGATACAGCCAATCACAGACAATCTTATATCGGCAAGCACCTGCTGACATACAAACATAAGAACCATTTTGCATTATTGTAGTATTCGTGGTTAGAAGTGGAAGGTCAATGTTTCTGATAGTGTTCCATTGAGGATTCCTGTCTCGCTGCATTGTTTTATCCCATAAACAGTGACCTTCCCTGAACTTCCGTTTCAATGTATCTAGCACAATTGGGCCAGGCCAGGCCACCTGACCAGGCAGCTCATTAGGTTAGAGCAATAGTACATCAATCTGAGGTTCAGGGTTTGAATCCCAGTCTAGCCCGCTGATTGTTTTACGCTCAGAACAATGTTTTTGATTATATGATTGTTTATTTCATCTTCATGATTTCTCATAAAAGTCCCACTAGGTATGGTTTTCTTTTCAGAAATGATTTATCAAAGCCATTGACATGCAGGAAAAACCAGTTTTCTACACTTAGTAACAGATTTTGGCATTGGTATGGGGATCCTTAAGATGTACTGACACTGTTACTAGTACGGAGATCTTTAACAGTGACTGACACTGTTACTAGTACAGAGATCTTTAACAGTGACTGACACTGTTAGTGGTACGGGGATCCTTAAGAGTTACTGACACTGTTAGTGGTATGGGGATCCTTAAGAGTTACTGACACTGTTAGTAGTACGGGGATCTTTAACAGTGACTGACACTGTTAGTGGTACGGGGATCCTTAACAGTGACTGACACTGTTAGTAGTACGGGGATCTTTAAGAGTGACTGACACTGTTAGTGGTACGGGATCTTTAAGAGTGACTGACACTGTTAGTGGTACGGGGATCCTTAACAGTGACTGACACTGTTAGTAGTACGGGGATCCTTAAGAGTGACTGACACTGTCCATAAAATGTTTTGATGGAAAGTAGAAAAGGTAGATCGATAAACAACATTCCTATTTTTTTTTACAACACATGTGTTCTACATTTCGTTCATATTGTTTATATGTTCAATCTGTAACTAGTTACCCATGTCACAGACAGAAATGAAGCTGGTAATTATAATGTACCTGTCCAGTATTTGACACTACCTCATTCAAGTGTTGCCATTACTTAGAGCTTCTTCAGATCATTTCTGTAAATGTTTTAAAAGAAGTAAATCAAAAATGACATTAACACTCATATTTATGCTTTTATTTTTAACAACATTTTTATTTGTGTTTTTTTAAAGTTAATTTAGCAAAATTGAACAACAGAATTCCAATTTTCATGTTTACTTTTACATAAAAATCTACAGGTCTAACTGATGGTTATAATAGACAGGTTTATCTCTGTCTATTCAAAACTGTGTATAAAGTTTTTGATATATATGTTTTTTTATACGATGTAATACAAATCCTGGTTAGTGCATTTTTCCCCTATCATGACATTAATGCGATGAGATTACTTTCAGAATTTGTAATTGGGTGTGTATATTTTTTCACTTTTTGAAGTATTGGTGATATTGCATTTAGTATCTAGCTATGTGAGCATTGTTAAAATGTCATGATACATGATACACATTATGGTATAGTGTTTTATTGTAGACAATACTTTATTAACGTTTGGCGATTACTCAGGAAGCCGGCCCAAGTCTTTGATGAATTTCCAAATTTTTATTGCTGATAAAATGATTGTTTCTCGTGGAAATATAATAATTTTTTGTGAAATAATTAAACTTTACAACATCAAAATTTCCCTCATACCCTATTTTGGCTGAAGACCCTGAACAAGCTTGAGGGGACAGGAGGCCCTAATTATAAGGACAGCTATAGATCTACAGTTTATATTGGGTACGATACGAAAGTTGCTATAAACAATGGTTTATTTACATGATCCAGATCTTCAGCAGACCGTGACTGTTTCTCAATGGTTAAGATGGATTTACAGTGGGTGGTATGAATTCTCATAAGGTCATATGGGTAGTCAGCATATCAGCTGATAACACAGCAGTGTTACAGTAAAATTGCATTTAAAAAAGACATGTGTCAACTTAAATATTGGTCGGTATTTGATTTTTTTACCTGAAACCAATCACATGGCTTACCATTTGCCTTCAATTTTGATATATATAAGGGTATATATAGGGTGCAGAGAATGGAAGTGAGTGGATGCCAAGTATTATAACATATTCAGAAAGTGAGGCTACATACAAGTTTGTGATGTTTACAATAATAACAAGATAATTAGTGTATCAAATATGAGATATGATTCCATTCAAGTTTCCATTCTATTTCACTTCATATGTAATATGTTTGTTTAATGATGAGATATATAGTATTGATGTTACCATTAATTTTAAAAGATTATGCATTGTTATATTATGGTGAAATATTTGCTAGTTGTGACTACTTTAATGATCTCGGTTTATATCACAGCTCAGCTGGCTGCCGACCAAATATTAATGCTCTTAGGACGGTCTTGTTAGCTTCAGGTGTAACTGGTTGATGTTGTGATCTCAAGAGATGTTTGACATTATCTTATAATTTATCATTTGTGCCAAGCTGGGTATGCCAAGCAGATCCAGGGCAATTGTTTAAGTGTGAGGTGGGTATGAGGGTAGTTGTTTGTGTGTGGGGGATGGGTATGAGGGTAGTTGTTTGTGTATGGGGGATGGTGTGAGCCATGTCAAGTGTATATAATATACAGAAGTGCTGTAATAAAGTGGTTGTTTGGAAAAATTTATGTTGGTGTTTGATTCAGGTAACTTGCCTCAGTTACATATACCTAGTAAGGCAACTTCACACAACTAACTACAAGTTTGTCCTGTGTGTTTAGAATTAATGAGAATTCACAATTTGCATGATTGAATCGGACATTAACCCTCTCACCTCTATGTAATTTAAGCAAACCTTACTATGCATTGATCTGGATGAGTCCATTATGGTCTACAGTGGTGAAAGGGTAAAACCTTTTTTTTCTTTCTGAATGATCAATATCTAGACACACCACTACAAACAACCAGAGCATCAGTATGATTTTATTCTGTTTACTAGACATGTATAAATGTATGTAAAAAAGGTAGTACATTCCTACCTTATCAGGTGTACAAATGTCACAGCACTTTTAATTTCATGAACATGCATATATACAATGTTGAGTATTAATGAATGAATAAATGGTACAGAAATGTATAACATAGTCACTATCACTTAAACACACTCGAGAACATGGTCACTTTAAAAGGAGAAAATGAATTCTCAATAAAAATATTTTTTTCTTTTAATCCTTTCACTGTTTTTTTGATTTCCCAATTTTGTCATATTAAATATAGATATGCACTAAACTAAACCTCTTGGATATAATTAACCTTTATCAAGCGAATATAGTTACCAAATATGACTAGGAATCGACAGTCGATTCAATAATACAGCTACATTTGTACTTATGTAGGCTAATAATGGAGGACAGTACTTATATAATTCACTGCAACTGGTTACAGATATCCCAGTTACTTATACCACAGTTTTAAGAGTACATTTGTCATCAAAGCCAATCTGTAATTACTGCTGCAGGTTTATTAGAAAATTCTTAGCAAAAGCTCCACAAAGACAAAACTTTGATCAGATCTCTTGGGTATTGTTTAATAAAAAAAAACATTTTGGATTGTTTCGAGCAGGTACATTTCAAGAAACGTGAAAAAAAAAGGATTCAAATATTTTGAATTGGAAATTTGCTTCTCTAGATTCTATAAATAAGTTCTAATGTTGAATTACAGATTCACATTAATGTATATAAAATCGTTATTTCCAACTCCGATTATAAACCCTACATTCCAAAACAGTTTCCTTACTGAACACACCCTATGTCTGTCCCCATTTCTCTATCAAAAGCTCCAGTATATAGATTTACTATACAACAAGGGGGCCCGCAGGGCCTGTATCGCTCAAATGGTTATTTAAGCCATCATGACAAGATATTCTCATTAAATTATTGTTGCAAAAAACTCTACAGACCATGGGGCTTATTCTAAAAGCATGATTCTGTTGATCCCTTTATACCCAGTAATTGAATAATATATATATGGTTATGTGGAAGGATCTCAACAGCTTCCATGTTATTAATCTTGGATTGACCACCAGGGGCAGGGTTGGACCCTTGAGCCAATCCTGGTGGTATTCTTATATTTGTCCCTTCATGAACATCAATTGGATGTATGACAATGGGTAAGGGATCTTGACCATTTCGTGTTATGACTGATGTACAAAGTCCCCAAATGCTTGGGAAACCCCCTGGGCCAATTCTAATGAAATGATTGTGTTTATCTCTTCTGGCTCAGCAAACAGGCATATGGTTAAAGAGTGAGGATCTCAATCATTTCCAAGCTATCCCATTTTTAGCCCAAACCCTCCGCACCCTTGGGAGTCGGCCTCTGTGTGCATCAATATCTAGGGATGCGTCCAAATGAATACGTTTCACATCCATCAGAAAGTTCCAGGGAAGATTGGTTTAAAGCAATATGGCCATATTACCTTGTTTTGGCCTATCCCTCAGCGCCCAGAGGTCAGTCCCTTGATGTGTATTATCTTTATTCTGCATCCCCTAAGGGTGTTCAAACCTGCTGATGAATGACGACGAATGCAGTGGTATGGCATTAGCTCACCTTTATCCTTCAGACCAGGTGAACTAGATATTTTAAAGTTTTCTGTCACAGTATTGAGGTGTTATCACATGGTTGTCTTAAAATAAATTTACATATGTAAAAGACATTCAATTTCACAACGGTAGTTTATCACAATCTATTAATATCAGCTGAAATATATTGTACTGGATGTTGGTAACCTGTCACCATTAAGTTTGTGTTGCCATAGCTCTTGTCCTTCAGTAAACTGACAACAAAACTATGTAACGGTGTACCTTTCCATAAAAAAAAATTCATTTGCATAAAAAAACCCAAGAATAACCAGTTTTAAAATAGCAACCATGAAACTCACAATCGTTGCTGACATGTAAGATTGAAGGTGAATTAGATATTCCAGAAATTACTTTCACTTTAATGCAAGGTCTTAGCTCTGAAAACAGGCACTGCTAACCTTAAACATGCTAGCAGCAACCTTCAAACTACACCTTCACAATGTAATTCAAGGTGTTAGCACTTAAATTAGGCACTGCTAACCTTAAACATGCTAGCAGTACCCACCAACCTAAAACTTCTCACTTAATGTAAGGACTTTGTACTAAAAACAGACATTTCTTACCTAATCACACCCTCCTATCTAAAACTTGGTATGTTAATGCAAGGGCTAACGGGCATCACCAACCAAAAACTTACCACTTTAATACTTGATCAGAATTGGCAGTTTTTGGATTGTATGTTGCTTTCACACGATATCTCTTCAAAAGATAATAGATTTTTACCATTTATGATCATGGTTGCATAGTTCATGTTCGTTATACATGTGTATACAAATTATTACAACATCACGATACCTTAAGTTATGATCACAACAATATTTGGCAAATGTAAACTGATTTAAAAAGCTGATGCAACTTCATTGTGAACATTTTTATAATTTGTTACTATAGCACCAGATGATATACAATGTACTTGATAACCAAATGTTTGGGCGAAACCATGTTAAAAAAAAACCTCAAAAATATTCATAAAAAAAAATAAAAATGCCCTATATGATAAAACACTAATGTGATATAGTCACTGCTATTGCAAACAATACAATGACTATTCTATAAAACTGAATTTCAGCAAAAAACAAAGATGTATCAGAATAAGATTTTAAGCATCAGTTGTGAGGGCTCCTCTCCAAAAGGCAGAGAAGGCTGATGAAGGATGAACAACCTTTATCCTGAATTATGCCACCACCACATTGTATGATTTAGTGTCTTCTCAAATTTCAAACAAATTTCAATATAAAAATATTTTCAACAGATTTTTCTTACAAACACCTCAATATAAAATTTCTTACAAACAGACAAGAATACACAAAAAAAACCAAAGAAAAACAGCATTCATTTCTTACTCAATGAAAAACTATAGGCCTTGACCTAAAATGATTCTCTAACAGAAAATGTAACGGTTTCCGGTCTCATTTGAACCTTAAACAACACCTGAGTCTTAAGTTTTCATAACAAACATGACCAGAACGGTAGGAAATGTAGATAAATGACAAGGACACTTCTACAGTAAGCTTCTAGTACACCAATTCTCTGTAGCTTCTAGTACACCAATTCTCTGTAGCTTCTAGTACACCAATTCTCTGTAGCTTCTAGTACACCAATTCTCTGTAGCTTCTAGTACACCAATTCTCTGTAGCTTCTAGTACACCAATTCTCTGTAGCTTCTAGTACACCAATTCTCTGTAGCTTCTAGTACACCAATTCTCTGTAGCTTCTAGTACACCAATTCTCTGTAGCTTCTAGTACACCAATTCTCTGTAGAAGTGTACAGTTTCCCTCAACATTATATATTATTATCCCGTTACTAGCAATAGTCAATATATTTTATAATTGGCCGTCTAATAAGGAAAGTAGTGTAACTCGTTTCACAGATACATTACACAGCTAAAACTCTCAATATGAAAATTATGAAAATTTAGCCATGTCCCTGGTCCTGAATGTTGGACCGCTCACATTAGACTTCAGAAACCAAGGTTGCACTACATGTATGTAATGGAATTATTCACGAGATAAACAGCTGCTTTGATTGGTCTACGAGCTGCCTAGCTGTAACAGAAGGGCCTCAGACCTTGAACTCCTCACCATGTTTCTGTACCAGAATCTCAACAACAGACGGGTCAACCAGTGTAGATATATCACCAAGTTCCTCTGGTTTGTTGTCTGCAACCTTTCGCAAAATTCTTCTCATTATTTTCCCAGACCTTGTCTTTGGTAATCCAGGAGTAAACTGAAAATATATGTTTAAATATTTAGAATATACAGATGAAACAGGTGCAGCTTTCTGTAATGGGATTCTCTTGTTTCCTCATTTACTAGACATTTTTCTGTTGTAATCAGTAGTTCAATACACAACAATGTATTTTCATAGCCTTGACTTGTTTACAGTGAATGTAACACTTACCAGAATCCTGTCTGGTTGAGCGAAGCCACCTATCCTGGTCTTGACAATGGATTTAAGTTGATCTCTTAAAGTATCAGCATCCTCTGGATTAATGTCTTCCATGGTCACCACAAAAGCATATATACCTGGACAACAAATACATCCTGGTCAGTAACCTAAATGCCTTGGTCAACAAAACACTGACGTGTACCACATGGGAGAGTACATACCGTATCAGATTTACAACCAAAGTAGAAATCTTTTCTTTTCTTATAAATCGTTCTAGTGCTCATTACACTTTTAAAGATATGCTTAGCACTATCTGTATCCATTGACTCAACACAGTCAAGCATGTCAACAGCTAGACATTTCTGCTCTGTGATACATAAATAAGACGACAAGAACAGTTATCACTCAAATTACATTTAGAAAGTTTCTGCAAGGTCACAATATTGAGGTCAAAGAGAAGTACATAATAAACAAGTTTTTATGGTAATATGATCAGGAAAGATGTAACAATTGCAGAATTCTTATGTTTGATTGACTTGCTGCAAGAGACATCAATCTACCTTCCACTTAGGAAGACTACTTCTCCTTGGGAAGACTAAGCTTATAAAGGAGAAATCAGCTTGCCTTCGCCATGGGAACTACATTGTACAATCTACTCCTTGTGAAGACTAAACTTGTACAAGAGACATAAGTCTACCTTCTCCTTGGGAGGACTACACTTGTACAAGNACTTGTACAAGTGACATAAGTCTACCTTCTCCTTGGGAGGACTAGACTTGTACAAGAGACATAAGCCTACCTTCTCCGAGGGAGGACAAGACTTGTACAAGAGACATAAGCAGACCTTCTCCGAGGGAGGACAAGACTTGTACAAGAGACATAAGCCTACCTTCTCCGAGGGAGACCTAGACTTGTACAAGAGACATAAGCAGACCTTCTCCGAGGGAGGACAAGACTTGTACAAGAGACATAAGCAGACCTTCTCTGAGGGAGGACAAGACTTGTACAACAGATATAAGTCTACCTTCTCCTTGGGAGGACTAGACTTGTACAAGAGACATAAGTCTACCTTCTCCTTGGGAGGACTAAACTTGTACAAGAGACATAAGTCTACCTTCTCCGAGGGAGGACTAAACTTGTTCAAGAGACATCAGTCTACCTTCTCCGAGGGAGGACTAGACTTGTTCAAGAGACATAAGTCTACCTTCTCCTTGGGAGGACAAGACTTGTACAAGAGACATAAGTCTACCTTTTCCTTTGGAGGACTAAACTTGTACAAGAGACATAAGTCTACCTTCTCCGAGGGAGGACTAATCTTGTTCAAGAGACATAAGTCTACCTTCTCCTTGTGAGGACAAGACTTGTACAAGAGACATAAGCAGACCTTCTTCTTGGGAGGTCTAAACATGAACAAGGGACATAAGTCTACCTTCTCCGAGGGAGGACAAAACTTGTTCAAGAGACATAAGTCTACCTTCTTCTTGGGAGGACTAAACTTGTACAAGAGACATAAGCCTACCTTCTCCTTGGGAGGACAAGACTTGTACAAGAGACATAAGCAGACCTTCTTCTTGGGAGGTCTAAACATGAACAAGGGACATAAGTCTACCTTCTCCTAGGGAGGACTAGACTTGTACAAGAGACATAAATCTACCTTCTCCTTGGGAGGACTAAACTTGTACACGAGACATAAGTCTACCTTCTCCTTGGGAGGACTAAACTTGTTCAAGAGACATAAGTCTACCTTCTTCTTGGGAGGTCTAAACATGAACAAGGGACATAAGTCTACCTTCTCCGAGGGAGGGCTAAACTTGTACAAGAGACATAAGTCTTCCTTCTCCTTGGGAGGACTAAACTTGTACAAGAGAGACATAAGTCTACCTTCTCCTTGGGAGGACTAGACTTGTAAAAGAGACATAAGTCTACCTTCTTCTTGGGAGGTCTAAACATGAACAAGGGACATAAGTCTACCTTCTCCGAGGGAGGACTAATCTTGTTCAAGAGACATAAGTCTACCTTCTTCTTGGGAGGTCTAAACATGAACAAGGGACATAAGTCTACCTTCTCCGAGGGAGGACTAGACTTGTACAAGAGACATAAGCCTACCTTCTCCTTGGGAGGACTAGACTTGTACAAGAGACATAAGTCTACCTTCTTCTTGGGAGGACTAAACTTGTACAAGAGACATGAGCCTACCTTCTCCTTTGATGTCGTGAGGGAAGCCAACCACAGCCGTCTCGGCCACTTGTGAATGATCATCCTAAAAATTCACAGCAGGTTAGATAACAATCTGATAATTCAATGTTTGGTTAAAATCAAATGACTGTTCTTAATTATGATACAATGACATTTTTTAATATTTAGATATTTAGCAGACGTTTAATAACTTTAAAATTCTCTTCAAAGACAAAATATAAGTGATCGAACATGAAGTAAATATGTACCATGGCATCCTCCACTTCAGCTGTGCCTATTCTGTGGCCGCTGACATTGATAACATCGTCCATCCGTCCTGTGATCTGGTAGTACCCGTCCTCACACCGATGCGCTCCATCCCCACTGAAGTAGTAACCTACAGAACACAATAACATGTGCTAGGGCCTATCTGGTGTGATCTTGTCTTAATCACACCAGGTGTTATCTCACAGGTGTAACAGGCCAGGTATTATCTCACAGGTGTAACAGGCCAGGTGTAATCTTTCAGGTGTTAATCAAGGCAGGTGTAATCTTATTGGTGTAAACCAAGCTCCACTATGATGCAATGACATATGTACTATATTACTAGTAACAGTATTTCATGTTTTTTCCAAGGACCATTTACCACAATAAAACTTTGACATACATATATGCATAAAACTCTATTAAAAATATTAAACAGAATATTCAGCTGGTCAGTGATGTTTGAAATATTCATTTAAAGCAAAATATGAATGTTGTTAAAAAAGGTTGGTGAAATATACACAATATAGAATATCTATATAATGATACTGTTAATAATACATCATAGAGCAATATTCTGACACAACTGAAATCCAAAGATGTAAAGTAATATAGTTCCAAGCACCTAGGTGTAATAATTAACTGACCAGGGTATGGGTTATAGTAGGTGTCGAGGAAGCGTTTGTGGTCCCCGTATATTGTACGTGCCATACCAGGCCACACTGACTTAATACACAGGGCTCCTTGTACATTACTGCCAGTCAGTTCCTTTCCCTGAAAAGACCAAGTGTGGACTTTTAGTCTCCAGCATATGTGTATAGAAAAGAGTGACCTATGGAGAGAGGTTACTAAGACTGTGACATCCACTGCCAAAGACTAGAAAAAGCCAGAATGTTCAAAGGTGGACCATAGATATTACCGATATTCCAAATGTAAATCATGTTTTCTTTAAATTGAATTATTTTCCTGAATATGACATTTTCATGCAAATCATGTTTTCTTTAATTTGAATTATTTTCCTGAATATGACATTTTCAAGTAAACCGTCATCACACAGATCTTACATCCTTGTCCATCAGAGCAGGTTGAATCCCAAAATGTGGTCTCATGGGTTTGGACGCTACTATCTTGGCTCCTGGAGCAGATGGTCTGGGTGCTAAAGCTATCCCTCCAGTCTCTGGGGTGGAATTCAAATAAATATTGTACAAATTTTTCACAAATTTTCACAAAGGCAACATTTTTTTTAATAATTTACATGAACTATCATATAACTTTTTAGTCTTTAAATTCTCCTGCCCCATTATTTACTTTTAAAATAATTTACATGAAATAATGGGAGAATTTAATTATATTTTCAAACATAGCAAACATTACAATGACAAAATTGTTCTTGATAAAGTCAAAAGAAAATTAAAAATTTGTCCCTTCTCCTTTCAGTTTCTTACTTCTGTAACCTCTCATCTCTTTCAACTACCACCTCAAAAACTCATCCTGCCCTCCCCTGTCCCTCTAACATACATTATACCTATCTGACCCCATCTGATCCTGCCCTCCCCTGTCCCTCTAACATACATTATACCTATCTGACCCATCTGATCCTGCCCTCCCTTTATCCACAAACTCACATTTGTCCTTCCCTACTACCTCCAACAGACCTGTGTGTCACCAGGTATCCACAATCTCACACTCACCCTCCCCTACTACCTCCAATATACCTGTCTGCCACCAGGTAACAACAACCTCACACTCACCCTCTCCTACTACCTCCAACATACCTGTCTGCCACCAGGTGTCCACAACCTCACACTCACCCTCCCCTACTACCTCCAACATACCTGTCTGTCACCAGGTATCCACAACTTCACACTTGTCCTCCTTTACTACCTTCAACATACCTGTCTGCCACAAGGTATCCACAACCTCACACTTGTCCTCCCCTACTACCTCCAACATACCTGTCTGTCACCAGGTATCCACAACTTCACACTTGTCCTCCTTTACTACCTTCAACGTTACCTGTCTGTCACCAGGTATCCACAACCTCACACTCACCCTCCCCTACTACCTCCAACAGACCTGTGTGTCACCAGGTATCCACAATCTCACACTCACCCTCCCCTACTACCTCCAACATACCTGTGTGTCACCAGGTATCCACAATCCCACACTCCCCCTCCCCTACTCCCTCCAACATACCTGTCTGTCACCAGGTGTCCACAACTTCACACTCACCCTCCCCTACTACCTCCAACCTACCTGTCTGCCACCAGGTATCCACAACCTCACACCCATCCTCCCCTACTACCTCTAACATACCTGTCTGCCACCAGGTATCCACAACCTCACAGTCACCCTCCCCTACTATCTCCAACATACCTGTCTGCCACCATGTATCCACAACTTCACACTCACCCTCCCCTACTACCTACAACATACCTGTCTGTCACCAGGTATCCACAACCTCAAACTCACCCTACCCTACTACCTACAACATACCTGCCTGCTACCAGGTGTCCACAACTTCACACTCACCCTCTCCTACTACCTCCAACATACCTGTCTGTCACCAGGTATCCACAACCTCAAACTCACCCTACCCTACTACCTACAACATCCCTGCCTGCTACCAGGTGTCCACAACTTCACACTCACCCTCTCCTACTACCTCCAACATACCTGTCTGCCACCAGATATCCACAACCTGACACTCACCCTCTCCTACTACCTCTAACATACCTGTCTGCCACCAGGTATCCACAACCTCACACTCACCCTCCCCTACTACTTCCAACATACCTGTCTGCCACCAGGTATCCTCAACCTCACCCTCTCCTACTACCTCAAACATACCTGTCTGCCACCAGGTATCCACAACCTCAAACTCACCCTACCCTACTACCTACAACATCCCTGCCTGCTACCAGGTGTCCACAACTTCACACTCACCCTCTCCTACTACCTCCAACATACCTGTCTGTCACCAGGTATCCACAACCTCAAACTCACCCTCCCCTACTACCTCCAACATACCTGTCTGCCACCAGGTATCCACAACTTCACACTTGTCCTCCCCTACTTCCTCCAACATACCTGTTTGCCACCAGGTATTCACAACCTCACTCCTGCCCTCCCCTACTACTTCCAACATACCTGTCTGCCACCAGGTATCCTCAACCTCACACTCTCCTACTACCTCAAACATACCTGTCTGCCACCAGGTAACAACAACCTCACACTCACCCTCCCCTTCTACCTCCAACATACCTGTCTGCCACCAGGTACCCACAACCTCCCACTCACCCTCTCCTACTACCTCCAACATACCTGTCTGCCACCAGATATCCACAACCTCACACTCACCCTCTCCTACTACCTCTAACATACCTGTCTGCCACCAGGTATCCACAACCTCACACCTGCCCTCCCCTACTTCCTCCAACATACCTGTCTGTCACCAGGTATTCACAACCTCACACTCACCCTACCCTACTACCTCCAACATACCTGTGTGTCACCAGGTATCCAAAACTTCACAGTTGTCCTCCCCTACTACCTCCAACATACTTGTCTGCCACCAGGTATCCAAAACCTCACACTCACCCTCCCCTACTACCTCCAACATACCTGTCTGCCACCAGGTATCCACAACCTCACACTCACCCTCCCCTACTACCTCCAACATACCTGTGTGTCACCAGGTATCCACAACCTCACACCTGCCCTCCCCTACTACCTTCAACAAACCTGTGTGTCACCAGGTATCCACAACCTCACCCTCACCCTCCCCTACTACCTCCAACATACCTGTCTGCCACCAGGTATCCACAACCTCACACTCACCCTCTCCTACTACCTCCAACATACCTGTGTGTCACCAGGTATCCACAACCTCACACCTGCCCTCCCCTACTACCTTCAACAAACCTGTGTGTCACCAGGTATCCACAACCTCACCCTCACCCTCCCCTACTACCTCCAACATACCTGTCTGCCACCAGGTATCCACAACCTCACACTCACCCTCTCCTACTACCTCCAACATACCTGTGTGTCACCAGGTATCCACAACCTCACACTTGTCCTCCCCTATTACCTCCAACATACCTGTCTATCACCAAGTGTCCACATTATCACACTCACCCTCCCCTTCTACCTCCACATACCTGTCTGCCACCAGGTATCCACAACCTCACACTTGCCATCTCCAACAACATCATTGTACCAGTCATATGCTTCAGTATTCAATGGCTCACCAACTATAAAGAAATGCAAAATCAGTATATATATAAATAAAGGCATTTAAAACTTCCCAAACGTTTACAAAATAGTTAATGTAACCCGATTGCTATTTCATTATCCTTACCAAGTTTCCAGATTGAGGACCTGACAATACTCACCAGTCAAGTTTCCTGATTGAGAACCTGACAATTCTCACCAGAGTCAATTTTCCTGATTAACGACCTGATAATTCTCACCAATCAAGTTTCCTGATTAACGTCCTGACAATTTTCACCAGAGTCAAGTTTCCTGATTACCGACCTGACAATTCTCACCAATCAAGTTTCCTGATTGAGGACCTGACAATTCTCACCAGAGTCAAGTTTCCTGATTTAGGACCTGACAATTCTTCACCAGTCAAGTTTCCTGATTAACGTCCTGACAATTCTCACCAGAGTCAAGTTTCCTGATTAACGACCTGACAATTCTCACCAATCAAGTTTTCTGTTTGAGGACCTGACAATTCTCACCAGTCAAGTTTCCTGATTTAGGACCTGACAATTCTCACCAGAGCCAATGTTCCTGATTGAGGACCTAACAATTCTCACCAGTCAAGTTTCCTGATTAACAACCTGACAATTTTCACCAGAGCCAAGGTTCCTGATTGAGGACCTGACAATTCTCACCAGTCAAGTTTCCTGATTAACAACCTGACAATTCTCACCAGAGTCAAGTTTCCTGATTAAGGACCTGACAATTCTCACCAGTCAAGTTTCCTGATTAACAACCTGACAATTCTCACCAGAGCCAAGTTTCCTGATTAACGACCTGATAATTCTCACCAATCAAGTTTCCTGATTGAGGACCTGACAATTCTCACCAGTCAAGTTTCCTGATTAACGTCCTGACAATTTTCACCAGAGTCAAGTTTCCTGATTAACGACCTGATAATTCTCACCAATCAAGTTTCCTGATTGAGGACCTGACAATTCTCCCCAGTCAAGTTTCCTGATTTAGGACCTGACAATTCTCACCAAAGCCAATGTTCCTGATAAAGGAACTGACAATTCTCACCAGTCAAATTTCTTGATTTGGAACCTGACAATTCTCACCAGAGTCAAGTTTCCTGATTGAGGACCTGACAATTCTCACCATAGTCAAGTTTCCTGATTGAGGCCCTGACAATTCTCGCCAGTCAAGTTTCCTGATTTAGGACCTGACAATTCTCACCAGAGCCAATGTTCCTGATAAAGGAACTGACAATTCTCACCAGTCAAATTTCTTGATTTGGAACCTGACAATTCTCACCAGAGTCAAGTTTCCTGATTAACGCCCTGACAATTCTCACCAGTCAAGTTTCCTCATTTAGGACCTGACAATTCTCACCAGTCAAGTTTCCTCATTTAGGACCTGACAATTCTCATCAGAGCCAATGTTCCTGATTGAGGAGCTGACAATTCTCACCAGAGCCAGGTTTCCTGATTGAGGACCTGACAATTCTCACCATAGTCAAGTTTCCTGATTGAGGCCCTGACAATTCTCGCCAGTCAAGTTTCCTGATTTAGGACCAGACAATTCTCACCAGAGCCAAGTTTCCTGATAAAGGAACTGACAAGTCTCACCAGTCAAATTTCCTGATTTAGGACCTGACAATTCTCAGCAGAGCCAATGTTCCTGATTGAGGACCTGACAATTTTCACCAGTCAAGTTTCCTGATTTAGGACCTGACAATTCTCACCAGAGCCAAGTTTCCTGATAAAGGAACTGACAATTCTCACCAGTCAAATTTCCTGATTTAGGACCTGACAATTCTCATCAGAGCCAATGTTCCTGATTGAGGACCTGACAATTCTCACCAGTCAAGTTTCCTGATTTAGGACCTGACAATTCTCACCAGAGCCAAGTTTCCTGATTAAGGAACTGACAATTCTCACTAGAGTCAAGTTTCCTGATTGAGGACCTGACAATTCTCACCAGAGTCAAGTTTCCTGATTAAGGAACTGACAATTCTCACCAGAGCCAAGTTTTACAAGGACTGTTTTCATACCATATTGTCTGTAATATGGGTTGTTGTGCATGTGTTATACTGCTAGCTGTGCATAGGCCATATCCCGGACCAACCCTTATCAGCTTGACATACCCGATATCTGTCTAGCATATACCATATCTGCCCACCGTGCACTGTAACCATTTTGCTTCTGGCTCAACGAGTTTCGGAACAATCACGCATCAATTTCTGTAATTCATGGATGATTTTGCATACTAAGACAGTGATGATGTGTAGTATTTGATAAAGAGGTTACGATATGACTACTTCCAGCTCTCAGGCCTCAAACCCTTCAGGCTGATATGGAGGCCTACAGTTGGTAAGGGGTAGGATAAATGTGTCCTATTATAACTTCTAAGTCTATATTCATTAATGAATAATCTCATCAGAGTTTCCTGAGTGTTGACCTTGACCTCTCAATACTTACCACAGCCAAGTTTCCCGAGTGTTGACCTTGACCTTGACCTCTCAATATTTACCACAGCCAAGTTTCCTGAGTGTTCACCTTGACCTCTCAATATTTACCACAGCCAAGTTTCCTGACTGTTGACAGTTGATAGATGTTGTGTGTGGAGTGTTGACCTTAACCTCACAATACTTACCACAGACAAGTTTCCTAAGTGCTGACCTTGACCTCTCAATACTTACTACAGCCAAGTTTCCTGAGTGCTGACCTTGACCTCTCAATACTTACCACAGCCCAAGTTTCCTGAGTGCTGACCTTGACCTCTCAATACTTACCACAGCCAAGTTTCCTGAGTGAAGACCGGTCATACTTTTTCACCCACTCATTGCCTTCCTTGAGCAGGAGTCGTAAGGAGGTTGGGGCCAAGTAAATATGGTCCAGACTCAGTCGCTGCACCATCTCCCAGTACCGCCCTGTCCAAACATGATGCTCATTTTGTAACTGCAATAGTTTATATTAAGTGTTTTTTCCAATGGAAAAATCATTAGGGCAAGTTCCCTCGACAAATACATCCATAAACTGCAAAATACTTCTTCCGTTAACCATAATTGTCTTAATAGCTGAACTTCAAATACAAAATGGAACTGAAATTCCCATAACATCATTTTACCTGGATTTGGGTAGGTGGGTGTACTCTCAAACAACACCGTTGTGGCACCATTACTCAGTGGTCCGTACACCACATAGGTGTGGCCGGTGATCCAACCAATGTCTGCCACACAGCCGAACCTCTCACCCTCCCGATAGTCAAACACATGCTGTAATCACAAAATACAATGTTACAGGCATGTGTCTAATATATATACAAATACTGTACAGGGTTATCTGTGTCTTAATCTACACAGAACTTAGGGATGCATGTGTCTTATCCACAAAGAAAACAGGGTTATCTGTGTGTTAACTACATAGCACACAGGATTACATGTATGTGTCTACACAACACATGGGGTTACATATATGTGTCTACACAGAAAACAGGGTTACATATATGTGTCTACAAAAAAACAGGGTTATCTGTGTGTTAACTACATAACACACAGGGTTACATTCATGTGTCTACACAGAAAACAGGGTTACATATATGTGCCTACACAGAAAACAGGGTTACATATATGTGTCTACACCGAAAACAGGGTTATCTCATATATGTGTCTACACAGAAAACAGGTACATATATGTGTCTACACAGAAAACAGGGTTACATATATGTGTCTACACAGAAAACAGGGTTATCTGTGTGTTAACTACATAACACAAGGGGTTACATATATGTGTCTACACAGAAAACAGGGTTACATATATGTGTCATGCTCCAAACACTGAACTGGCAATCCCTTCTACACAGAAAGCAGGGTTATTTGTGTGTTAACTACATAACACACGGGGTTACATATATGTCTTACCTGCACAGAACTTATGGCTTTATGTATGTGTGTTATCTATACAGAATACAGGGTTACATGTATGTGTTTTATCTATACAAATTATAGTGTTACATTAATATAATTTATCTGTACCTACCCTTTGTGTGATACCAGCGTACAGAAGATATCCGGCGGTGGAGTGTGCGATCCCTTTGGGTTTCCCTGTTGACCCTGAGGTATACAGCATAAACAGGAGGTCCTCACTCCCCATCTTCTCTGGTTCACACACGTCTGACTGGCTAGCCATTTCCTAACAAAACAAAGAAATCAAAGTATTATAGAATTTCCTTGTTGATATTCCCATAAACTGAGCAATGACAAGTTCTGAAAATAGGTTCAATGACTGCTATTCAAACCCATTTATACACCACATAGTTGAATTATATTGAATTATGACAGAAACTATATATGAGTGAACAAGAGGAGACAGATTGTCGGAGCTACCTTGTCTAGGGAGATGTCCAGTTTGCCCATAGGGACAGGATTCCCAGTCCTCTGGTAAACAAACACCCGTTTTACACATGGACAGTTGGCCACGGCGGCGTCCACGGTCTGTTTGAGGGGGATGATCTTCCCTCCTCTCACTCCCTCGTCAGATGTTATCACAGTCTCAGCATCAGCTACGTTACACACACAACTTTAGCATCAGCTAATTATCTCACGGGAAATAAGTAAATACTATATACATGGAAATCTACACACCGTAAAATTGTCTCCCCTTCACTAACAAACAAAATGTCATTAACATCAGATAATTGTATAGTAGTATCTATAGTAAGCTGTATACCTATATTTGCTTCCAAGATGAACTTTCCTCAAAGCCTCACAGGTATACAGTAAAAAAAATATTCAACTGTATTTTTTCTATTTTTATGAGGTTAACATTATGGTAAATAATATAAATCAAAATATGGAAATATTTAAAGGATCCTATCATAAGTAGGAGCCTGATTAGGATGGAGGTGAGTACCATCAATGATCCTTCCAGCCAGAGCCTCAGCACTAAACCCAGCGAACACCACACTATGGATGGCCCCGATCCTAGCACACGCCATCATGACTGCCACAGCGACTGGTGAGGTAGGAAGATAGATAGCCACACGGTCTCCACGACATACGCCAAAACTCTTGAGCATATTAGCCATCTTGTTGACCATTTGTGACAGCTGCCTGTAAGTGTAAAGTCATCAGTTTAAAAACTGTCTTGGTCAGGTGTGAAGTCAGTGTCCCAAAACATATCACTGAGCAGGGGTTCTTCAACCTTATACACACTGGTTTTGCACTCTTTGCTTGACAAAGGAAACAGACGTTTTCAAAATCTCACAAAATAAGTTTCAATTACTGCTTCTGTTTAAAACAAACTTAGCATTTATGATAAATACAGATTCATTTGACAGTGCTGTTACAAGCAGTTCCAGTTATCATGCTATATCTTTCCTATGTTTTGTTTAGTGAGGATGAAACAAAACTCCAGATGTGTATGGTGACATTACCTGTAACTAAAGAATTCCTTCATACCCAGTTCAGATGTGTATGGTGACATTACCTGTAACTAACGAATTCCTTCATACCCAGTTCAGATGTGTATATTGACATTACCTGTGACTAAAGAATTCCTTCATACCCAGTTCAGATGTATATGGTGACATTACCTGTAACTAAAGAATTCCTTCATACCCAGTTCAGATGTGTATGGTGACATTACCTGTAACTAACGAATTCCTTCATACCCAGTTCAGATGTATATGGTGACATTACCTGTAACTAAAGAATTCCTTCATACCCAGTTCAGATGTATATGGTGACAATACCTGTAACTAACGATTTCTCTGTACCCAGATCAGATGTGTGCTGTGGCGTTACCTGTAATTAACGATTTCTCTGTACCCAGATCAGATGTGTGCTGTGGCGTTACCTGTAGCTAACATATTCCTCCGTTCCCGGTTCATCTTTCTCCCAGATCAAGGCTATAGCATCACCATTCTTCTCTGCATATCTGTCCACACAGTTAACTGCAAATATAATACAATCACAGTAATAATACAAATCCAGCATTGTATAGCCTAGTGCAGTCTAAATGAGCTATTGTAATCAAGCTGACTTTACATTTTACCACTGCCCCTGGAAGTGAGGGCAGCTGACTTTATATTTTATCTCTGTCCCTTGAAGTGAGGGCAGCTGCCTTTATATTTTACCTCTGCCCCTGGGAGTGAGGGAAGCTGCCTTTATATTTTACCTCTGTCCCTGGGAGTGAGGGCAGATGCATTTATACTTTACCTCTGCACCCTGGGAGTGTGGACAGCTGCCTTTATATTTTACCAGTCCCCTGGGAGTGAGGGCAGCTGACTTCATATTTTACCTCTGACCCTTGAAGTGAGGGCATCTGCCTTTATATTTTACCTCTGTCCCTGGGAGTAAGGGCAGCTGCCTTTATATTTTACCTCTGCCCCCTGGGAGTGTGTACAGCTGCCTTTATATTTTACCAGTCCCCTGGGAGTGAGGGAAGCTGACTTCATATTTTACCTCTGACCCTTGAAGTGAGGGCAGATGCATTTATATTTTACCAGTCCCCTGGGAGTGAGGGAAGCTGCCTTTATATTTTACCTCTGTCCCTGGGAGTGAGGGCAGCTGCCTTTATATTTTACCTCTGCCCCCTGGGAGTGTGTACAGCTGCCTTTATATTTTACCAGTCCCCTGGGAGTTAGGGCAGCTGACTTTAATATTTTACAGCTGCCCCCTGTGAGTGAGGACAGCTGCCTTTATATTTTACAACTACCCCCTAGGAATGAAGGCAGCTGCCTTTATATTTTAACTCCGCCCCCTGGGAGTGAGGGTAACATTTGAACTATTATGACGCTGAAATATTCTGTATAAAAACAAGTTTAAACAAGTTTTTCAGTAAAGCTGGAGTGTTGTTTTTATCTAGTTTCAGTAAAGCTTGAGCATTTTTTAAATTAGTTGTCATTCTTTCCTCTGTTTGGACCTGCCTCCAATACTTTCATTCCAACCACGTTTAAATTGAATATTCTTGTATCCCAAATAACAAATTAACTTAATACTATAGTTGTCGAGCAACTCTGCATTGTACTCATTTTAACATTTATCCTACAATGTTAATCCAATTCTTTAATCTTCATTCCTCTGCCCCTATGGAAACCACCACCTTCGTTTATACAGAAACTTTATATAATTGATACTGTGATGCTAACTAAATTAAGTATAAATAAATTAAAACCTGTCACAACTTTATATAGGAGCATTGTGGCCTTTTAATCTTTTAATACATTTATGACTAGGTGATATTGATATGTGAAAATGTAAGAAAGAACTTAATATCATAAAATATAAACATATAAATATCTTAAAATTCCTATTTGGTCATCTTAATGCTCCAAGTATTATTTTAATTGGTGTTACTGACAGCAATTTCAGTAAAGGGATGTGGATTGGGGATATCAGAAAAGGTAGGAGGCCCTTTACAGTGACATTCAAAGACCCCCTCAGGTTAAACTACTGATAACAGAGATAACATGTGGTCATTACGGATTATACCCATGATTGATAAATCACTGCTTATATCAATATTGATAATAATATGTTTACTGATGTTTAAGAATCTAATTCGGTTTTAAGTTACATGTTGATAATTTTTAGACTATCACATTTTCCCAATTCAACAAGTTATAAGTTATATACGATCAAATTATTTAAACACATATCAGTTATATATGTTGACCATGAAAGTTTGTTACCTACAGTACTGGTCTAGACATGTAAACTTCTAGCTGATATCTGTTTCTTATCTACTATTGTCTGTATACCAGTACTAGTAGATCAAGGTCACAGTTAACGTTGTTTTATACAGAGTCCTCGACATAGATCTTAACACCTCTTGATTTATCAGTCAAGGAGAAAAGTGAAGGGTTCCCTGATAAGTAACCCACATGAAGTTTCTTTAAAAAACTGTTCTGATCTAAACTGATCTGTAGAAATTTTAAGTATTTTTTAGGTAACAACGAATAGTCAAGTGTCATCATAGTTTGATTGTGTCAGTTTTTTCTAATCAGATGATAAATAAATATGATACAAAATAAAGTACCCTAGTTATACATTGGCATACGATTAAATACATTTTGTGTTTGTGTCATTGTTTTATCTAAAATACAAGAGTATATATAAAGGATGTACATTGTACAGAGTGTCAAAGTCTTTGCCTAGATGGAATTTATCTTTAGAGCAGTGGATAACCATCGGATTAGAAGGCATGAGGTTGCAGGTTCAATCCCCAGCAAACAAACATATTCTGTTCACTACTTCCATGCTGTTACATATTCGATACTGTTTATATGTCACTCTGGTAAAATATTAACTGCTTCCTACCTACCGAAGGGAGAATTTCTCTTTCGCTCATTCGCGATCGTCAGAGCATCAGATTAGTAACCCAGAGGTCCCAGGTTGATCCCTAATGGAGGCAGGCATTGAAAAAACACAATGACCTCTAGCTGACACTGGCATTATGTATAGGGAGGGACCTGTGAAATATTGAATTCTCAGCCTTTTTCCACAAGCATGGCTATTAACCCTGGAACAATAGGACTAGTTCTCCCTAGAGGAGAATTCCAGTATGTCATCAGACAAGTAAGTCAGGTTTATCCCTAGCAAAGGCATTGAAAAAAAATTACCCCCGTTATTTTTTAGATATATGCTTGTCTTTACATGTTGTTAATTCTTTTCAGATGAACAGCTTTACTAATTAATTGCCATGTTTCTGTAAATTGATCTATCGAAATCACTGTTGATTCTTGCCACAGGGGCCTGAGAATTAAGACATAATATATATTACAGTTGTTCACACCTCCCCTAACGTGTAGGGTATTATGTTTTTCGGGGTCCCAATCAATACTCAATCTAAGTCAGTGGTATAAATGACATCTTTTGATGATGGTATCTACATTTATTATGTGGTAGGGGTCCTACCATACATCATTACATGCATATATGTACTGCATTTTAATTTTCATGTCCCTGTGATTTCCACCTGGATCATTATAAATCTTTGCTCTATCTGGAGGCTCCCATTAAAAGGGTCACTCCATTCTGGTGTAGGCATGTCTGTCACAGACTACTGTCAATACATCTATACTTTTATTATATGTGTATTGACGAGGTTAGTACCTGTGCTGTATAGTGATATGGTTTATGTTTTGTATGTTGAAATGGTGCAGAGAAGAGTCGTCTGGTACACCCCTGGGTGCTATAACTACACCAGTAGTGTTACAGAAATGCTCCAAACACTGAACTGGCAATCCCTTGAACAATGCCGTAAAATGACCTCCACCATATTACTATATAAAATCATAAACGGCCTTGTGGCATACGATGGCAACCTCCAAAGTCTAAAAAGCGAACCCGACAACACAAATTCCAGATTCCATACAGCTCCACAAATTATCATGCACATTCATTCTTTCCTAGAGCAAGAGCAATTTGTACCTGGAACTGCCTCCCAACCTTCATCGCCGACAGTGCAGACCTCTCAACACTGAAGGCAAATCTCCTCTCTCACAAATTCTAAGCGTACATGTTTTTTTATCGTAAAGTTCTAAAAAAAAAAAAATGTGTTTAACCGATGTTTCTGACGCCTCTAAATAATGTTCAGTATATTGAACGTTAAGAGTATCCTGTTGAAGTTGAATGTTACACGCTTGGTCGTTATCGTGTTGGTATGGAGACACTTAAACGTGTTAATATATTATATGATACATATAGTTATGTGGTCTCAGAACTCACCAGACGCATTCAGCTTCCCATCCATAAACCAGCGTATATGTCCCTTGTTTATATCACAGTCTTTCACTTGGTTAAATGTCTGAAACCACTGTAACCTAGATTTGGCAAGTGTACCCCAAAAATGGTCTGGATTCTGCAAACTCGCATTGTGCAAATCTGCATGAGATTTAAACCGAGAGTCTCCTTGAAATTCTGGAAATGGCGTCGTTGTTATCCCTCTAAAATGTGTGCAGGAGACACCTTTCCATGCATGACAAGTAATTGAGTTCTTCAAGCTGCTGATAAGGAGCAATGAGTTATTTTTTCCAACCTGATAGAGATACTTAGCACCCGCCATCGTTGTACAACTTGACGAGCTGTAAATAAGGTCAACACCAGTTGAGTGCAGCGCCCTCTGTAAACATAGTAACATGTGTGTGACCTACTTTCGATATCACCAAGACACGCCCCTTTTTATTTATTGATAATATTTCAACAATTTAACAGAGAACAAAGACCGACCTGCAGCAGAAATGATCTAATTATGGTACAATGTATTTCTGTATTCTAATATTCTGCCAAGGATGACAACTCTTTGGTAACATAATTATCAACTATGTTTTCTATTTACTTTTCCTGTATTTTTGGCACTTTGTGACAAACAGATCGAGTGAGGCGTAGAATAGTGTTCTGAGTTTCCAAATTATATTTTATAACGTAGAGTACTTATATTTTATGTCTGTAAGAAAAATGGTAAAAATGTGAATTTTTGGTTAAAATATTGATGTTTGTGTCAGGCCCTTAAAAAGGTCACTTTTCAAATTTCAGGGGGGGNCTGTAGATGCAGCTGATAATGCTGCACTGAAAATAATGCACTTTGTAACTTTGCAACTGATGAGTCGAAATACTTAAGATAATGAAGAACTTGAGTTTGAACTAGACATGTACATGTAGTTTAGGCGAGCATTTTGGCAATTTGATATTAATTTATTTTGTCATAAATATGAATTATGATTTAACTGTTTGTCTTTTATTGAACAATGGCAACACCATAACAAAAAATAAATTATGTATATTAAAAGCAATTCTAATGAAAAGGATGTACGCGCCAAGCTTTTATGCTAGCATTGGTTATTAGTCACCTGATGAAATGATGCTAAGGAGAGTGCTTCATTGTCTTTGAATGTTTTGAAATTTATATTTTTTAATTGGTATAATAAATCACGCTAAGTGAACATGTGCACTTTTTTCAATTCAATTCAATTTATTTCCATAAGTTTTACAACTTATAGGATTTTTTCAACAAATAATCTCATATAAGTACAACATATAATTACATATTACTGGCACATTCATCACAAATCAGCAGCAACAACAACATCATCGAAATCATAATTCATCGCTTTCATCATTATCATTATCATCATCATCATCGTCGTCGTGGCCGTCGTCGTCGTCTTATAACTCCTCATCATGAAATAATCATCTCTTTAAATCAACATCAAATACTACATCATCATCCGTCAAAGTACAACAACATGAAATAGTTACCATTTTAACATGAATTTCATAAAACTGGTACATTTTTCTCAAATCAATTATCTTTTTCATCATCATCATCATCATCATCATCATCATCATCATCATCATCATCATCATCATCATCAAAATATCAACACCATCGAAAACATCTATATCATCATCATCATCATCATCATCAACATCATCATCATCATCATCATCAACAACAACAAAAAACAACAACATTGAGCATTTACCATGAAAGATTGTACGAACAAAACATGGACATGATACGATTGAGTAATACAAAATTAGGTAAAACAAACTTATAAGTTAAACAATCCTTCGTTTGTTAGCTTCAATAATAAATTTACCTAACAAATTCAGTTCTTTTACATTGTGTGTATTTACTAATTCGATAAGTTTGAATACGGATGGTTTTTGCCAGTAATATTTTTTAATATATTTTCTCCTTAGATCTAGATGACGTGGGCAGGTAAATAAAAAATGAAATTCATCTTCTATCTCTATTAGGTCACAGTTACTGCAATATCTATTATTCCTTGCAACATTCCTGTATCTTCCCGTTTCTATTGCAAGATTGTGAGCTGACATACGTAATTTGGTAATCATAATTCGACGTTGTTTTGGTATAAACTTTGTTAAATAATATTGCAACATCACGGTATCTACCATGTATCTATAGAGATCACATTTACTTGAGATGGCCAACGAGTTGAATAAAGTTTGTTTTGCCTGATCATCTATGCGCTGTTTAATAATAGGTAGTAGACAGATGTCGGTAGCTGCCTGCCTTAACCATATATATCCAAACCCTAGTTCTAATAATTTATGCTTTATGAATAATAACCAATTTCGTTTTGGGTTTTCCCTCCAAGTTTCTTTTAATAAAAACTGATATGCTTCTTTTAGAATACAATTTTCACAATTTAACAACTTAAACCAATATTTAAACATTCGAATCATCTGATTGTTTGCCAGAGGAAGTCGTCCAAGCTCAAAATATACCATAGCATTGCACGTAGATTTTTTAACACACAGTATATTTTTACAAAATTCCATATGAACCCTTTCTATTTCAACTCCTTTATAACTACCCCATATTTCACAGCCATAATATAATACACTACTCACATATGTGTCAAAGAGGTGTAGCATAGTTTTGATGTTTAAATGAATGTGTTTACATTTAGATCGTAAGGCAAAAAGCGCTTTACGACCTTGCTCTGCTACATGTTTAACCATGAAACTGAATTTGTTATTAAATCTAAACAGAACCCCCAGATAACAGAATTGATCCACAATTGAAATTTTGTTGCCGTTATACACCCAGCTTTCTGATTCTCTAATAATTCCACTATTTCTGAAAACCATAATTTTGGTTTTATCGGTATTAACTGTTAATTTCCACTTATTCGAATACTCACTTAGATTGTTCAAGAGGCTTTGTAAACCTTCGATTGACTCAGAAAATAAAACTAAATCATCTGCATATAGAAGAAGAAATAAACTCAATTCCCCAAAATCATAATGGGATGCTCCATTTTCTATAAAACTATTTTCAAAGTCATTTAAAAACAAAGAAAAAAGTAACGGGGATAAAATTTCCCCTTGCATCAATCCAACATTATTAGAAAAAAAGTTCGAACATTTGCCATTAACTAAAACACAAGATTTAACTAATGAGTATAAAGACTTAATTGTAGACAAAAATTTACCTCGAACACCCAGCTTTGTTAACTTGCACCACAGGCTTACTCTATCTACGAAATCAAATGCCTTGCGGAAATCTACGAAACAACAATATAACCTCTTTCTTTCAGATAACGTTTTCGAAATTATAGTTTGCAAAGCGAAAATAGCATCCACAGTGCTTACCCCTGGACGGAATCCAAATTGTGCGTCTGTTAAAATATCATATTTAGTACAAACGTCAATCAAACGTTTGTTAAGTATGGATGTAAATAATTTGTACATACTACTAATTAGACCGATACCTCGAAAATTATTAGGATCTGTTAAAGCGCCCTTTTTATGCACAGGTACAATGATTGCTTCGGACCAGTCAAATGGAAAACATCCAGATTGTAAAATATTGTTAAATAATACATGTAAAAAAGGTAACAACAACTGTTTACATTCATTAAAACATTCATTTAACAGACCATCTGGACCATGCGACTTATTTCGTTTCAGATTATTGATTTGCGTGATTTGTTGGATTTGCATTGATAAATATTTTTTTATGTAAACATTTAACTTCATCATTAAACCAGGGCTTGTCATCCCTAGTCTCTACAGTCAAACATCTAACATTTTCAACATGGGTTTTCTTAGCACACTTATCGTGTACAGTTTTACGAAAGAAAGGTTCCATTAATTCCTGTATTACCTTAGTGAACTTCTTTACACTGGAGTCGATGGATTCCTGATTTAATTCCCCCCTAATCTGGACATGTTCCTTAAGCTTGTCAGAATTAATATTTAATGACTCTGTGAATTGATGTTTATATTCATCATTCCATATATATATCGGACTGTCCCTACCGTTACAATTGCCTTCAACAGTATCATTAATTGTGGACACTCTCTTACCATATAACTGTACATGTAAAGGAGCATGATCAGAAAACTCTGTAAAATTACATACTACAATTTTTTTCACAGTTGAGAACAAAGAAAAAGGCATTAACATATAGTCTATCACACTCATCCCATTTGATCCACAGAAAGTAAAATCATTTGATGATCCATCTATATCTCTACCATTTCTGATTCGCAGACCAGAAGATTTACATAGCTTAATTAATCTAGCACCATAGTCATTCGTACCAGGATCTGGGTTTACCCTATTAGGTAAATTGTCATCAGCATCATCAACTAAGTAGTTGAAAATAGATTCAATGTGGTTTCTGACACTCTCATGAATGGTGTCGTAAGTTATAAAATCATCAGTTGTGCGTGTTCGAGCATTAAAATCACCTATAATCATCACATTCTTAGATTCAGAGTATTCTAACAAGATTGTCTCTAACTCATGAAAGATGTCACAGTTGTAATGTATATAGTATTGCGAGGAGCTCGGAGGAACATATGTAAAGATAACAGTAATGTCTTTATTCTGGTCAAGTAGACATTTATCAATAGTCACGGGTATTATGGTATCAAAAAGAGAATTTCCAACAGAAACAAAGTTATAAATACTATCGCGTATTAGCAAAATGTTTCCACCCCCTTGTGTATATCGAGTTAATTTTCTAGGCATAACAACAGACTTGAAATTTTCAATATCTACAGTGTAATCGTTTGGGATCCAACATTCGGATAAAAATACTATGTCGTAAGATAGAATGAATTTTCTGAAATCTAGTTCATTGAGCTTCTTATCAAAACCACCATTAATGTTCCAAGTTAATTTTTTTACATCCAACTCATGATAAGACTGTCCGGAGTGATTAGCATCACACGACTCCCTCCGACTTGAAGGTATATCTATCATGAAATAGACTCTACCTTTGAAATAACACTTTACCTGTATAGACCTCTCCCAACTGACACAGTGATCACCACACCGTGACATTAGAACAAAAAGATTAGGTAGAGTCAGTCAGGTGAGCCTTGACCACTGACCTGACGGGTGGAGACCATACTACAATATAGACAATGGAGGATCAATCCCCTATTGTTTAGAGTATTCCTTGTTTGGGCAACACCCTTAGGCATATATAAATATACAAACTGTTGGTAATGGGAAGCCATAGAAAATCATAGTTCAATCCTATATGAAATAGAGGAAACCTTCAAAAACCTTGGTCCAGATTATTTTTGGACAACTAGGGTAACACCCCTTGGTTCCTTCTTT